CAAATGTCCAACTGATTTTCTGATAAATACTAGAAGAGCTAGCATTTATATTGCTGAAGTTCTAGTTCTTCAAAGACTCAAGTAGTCCTCATAACAATCCTGAGACATAAATATTGTTATCTCTATTTTTACAGATATGGAACCAGATGCACAGAGAGTTTAAATGGTTTGTGCAAAGTCATCCACCAATTCAGCGGCAGAGCTAGGATTCAAACCCAAGTAGTCTGGCACCATTTTGTTGCCTTACTGTCTCCACTATTCTTTTTCTGGCATGATGATTGTTAACTGTGAAATTTTATGTCAGTTCTCACATATTAATGTTACCTTAGTTGTATCAGGACGTAGACTAATCATGAGTCTCAATTAGATGAGATTTGTATTATATCAAAAACTCCAGAATATTTCTCTTCTCAATTCCATTCTTTTCATGCCACATATGGTTCCTCCAATGACTCATTTATTCCTCAATGTTATATAACCTCAAACTATGTAAAAATTGGCACTCCCAAATGATCATAAAATAAAATACTATTTTGTAATCAGATACTGTTCTAAATTAAGTTTTTCAAGGAAACTACAGATTTATATCTATCACCTAATGTTATAAATGTAGATAAAATAGACAAAAATACCAAATTCTAATTAAACAATAACAAAAAAAATAAAGCTGTACCTTAGAATCTTCAGTAGAATCAATTGCTGGTGTTTGTTTCCAGATTGGTTTTCAGCAAAAGTTTAGTTCTTTTTCCATAATTGTTTTGAAAATTTCCAGCATGACCACATTTTATTCCATTTATTTCTGATGTTAGCACTATTTATTGAAGAGGAAATAAAGTCTAAGAAGACTGTCTCAACCCATTGTTTTAGAAGTTCCTTAATCAGAGAGGGCTGTTTTCTCTCAGAACAACTACAGTGCACTGTTTGTAATTATGGAGGCATCTTGGAATTACAAGCATCAAGAAAGAAAGCTCTGTGATCTGGCCGTGATTGAGAAAGATAGAATGCTTTGATGAAAATTCAGTACCCCTAGAAACTAGAAATATTCTGAGTTTTGAACTAATTGTAAACATTTAGAGGTGCAGGGGAGTAGCTTAATCTTGAAATGGCATTCTTTCTGAAAAGTACAGGTTCAAGTATTTTTATAAAGAAGTCTTTTGTAACATCAGATAACTCCTGCAAATACCATTTTGATAAGTAATGCGTAAATGAATCAGACCATATAGATTAAATTTCCTTTGAAATGCTCAAGGGTTTAAATAACTAGGGATGTGTGATTGGTCCAAATCATTTGGGGGTTTATTGACTCTAAAATATTCAAAAGTCAAATTGAGCTTGTCAGACCACTGGAATGTGACTATCGGTCTATTGATGATATTTGATGTAAAATCCCAAGAAAATATTTCTATTTTTTTACTATAGCATTTTTTTTTTGCAATCAGCTAATAATAGATGATATAAGACAAAGTAAAAAACAAAACAAAACATTGCTTGCTGATATTTTTGCCAAAATCCTGTGGTAATTTATCTGGTTATCAACATAACTAATTTCCTTTTGCATGTATTGCTTAACTCTACTTCTCAATTAGAATTAACTTGCTTTTCCAGAATTTGGTTAGAGTCAAGGGTGATGAGGTCTACTGGGAAGTGTGCAGGTGGAGAACCAGGAAATTATACCCTTGAGAAGCTCTGGGGTTTTTAATCATTGAGATCTGACCCATAATGACTGATGAAAACATTCTGTTCCTCACTAGTGACTTGCAGATGGTGGAACTAGTTCAGATTCATTTTACTTCTTTCTTCCTTAAATTAACAAACATGTGTTTGTATGTATATAAGTACGTATGTATGTACGTATATGTATATGAATATAGGATTTAAATGGCTAGCCAAAAATCTTAGTTTTGTCATTCATGATACCCAACATCAGACCAAAATGCTAGATGTGATTTTATATGTAAAAATTTTCCTACAAAAGCCTTTCACCACGTAGAGAAAATCAACATCTATGTTCTTGCTTACTACTTCCCCAAAAGGCACACACACACACACTTGCATATCCCCAGTACTTTTGGCAATGTACATTAATATAAGCTTGGTGATGGATACAACTAGCTTTCTGTCACAGATACTATATACACGTAATATATATTTGCAGTGTATATGCCTGTATATATTCATATATACATACATATATGACTGAGAAAGGATGATATCAGACAAAAAGTAAAACACATAATTATGAATCATAAATGACATTTTGTCTGTTATCTTATTATGATTTGTAAGGTGCCTTGTGCATATAGCTGATGATAGAGAAGATGCAGACCTGGCAAGCTGAGAAAAGGCAGATATAGCCTTCCTATATTTCCCCCACACTATATAATCTATGTTTACATAATTCATTTTCATGTGAGAGAGGCAGTGACTCCCTTTTTTTTTTCATTGGTTTAAAAAATTCTTAAGGTCTTCTTAATTAACAGGAAAATTTAGCTCAATTCAATTTAAAATTGTGATATTATGTTTAAGAGTGAGGTGACTATAATGTTGCTTTAAATACAGACTGTAGTCATAAAATTTTTATTTTCCCTTCATTACAAAATAATGTATCATTTTGCTTTGTTACAAAATAATGAACCAGAATGTTAATTCTTTATATTAATAAATATGTTACTATTTGGTTTATCTTCCTGAGTCAATAATCTCTTTATGGAAGAAAACACAAGTGTTTCTAAATCTTGTTAAAACATTTGGTCATTTGTAGAAAAACCTTACGGTTTCTCTAAAAACAACATTTGGGAGAGGTTGTTTATAACCAAGTTAAGATGATGATGATGATTATTATTTTTTACGTTTTTACTTATTCGCGCGAGAGAGAATGAGAGACAGAGAGCATGAGAGGGAGGAGGGTCAGAGGGAGAAGCAGACTCCCTGCCGAGCAGGGAGCCCGACGTGGGACTCGATCCCAGGACTCCAGGATCATGACCTGAGCCGAAGGCAGTCGCTTAACCAACTGAGCCACCCAGGCGCCCCCAAGTTAAGATGATTATTAAGGAATATTTACATTGTTCTATTTTGTCAGGATAGCATAAGTAGATTGATGGTTATGATTGGTTATTTAAGTTATTATATAACTTATATGTGACATTAATATTTTACTTAAAAATTTTAATGTATGCTTTATACAAAACTCATACATTAATACAAGTATTAGTAATTCAAATTAAAATTATTTTCTCTAATATGGCAATTCATATTATGTAAGTAATTTAAATAATTCTGTTCATATGTATTCTATATATGTGTGTTTAATATTCAAGGTAAAGGACAAGTCTCATGAAGATAAATCATAATTTTCTATACTATATTATAAAGGAAAATATACATTTTACTTATATTTTAAGATATTACTTAGATATTATTTAATAAAAATAATGACATATAACCACAGAAATAAGCTAGTAGCATTTGCAAGTTACTCATCTCAGAAATTACCATCTGCAGATATGTTTTTAAAATTATAAATATGTTAGGTGTACAAATGACTAAAATCCTTTGAGCTGCCTTACTTCTCCGTTTTCAATATTTTAAATGAAATTGTTAGATACCTGCTGGTTTTAACTTATTTTTATGTATGTTAAACCTCTCACACTCTATATGTTCTTGAAGAAAAGTTACCATCAGATAACATTACTTTCAACTCCTGCTAGAATATGTTATATATGGGATATATTTTGTTCCACTTGTACTTCCCCTGTGTTGTCTTCATTTTTGGATATATATTCATTTAAAATATACAACTTTTATTTTCTTACTTTTTACCCTCGTAAGTAGTGCTCTTTCCAGACTCTTCATAGTATAGATGGGAAGGTGTAATTCTAAAATGACAGTTGAGCCGTCCTGAGCATGTCCTGGGGAGCTAATGGTCCAGAATGACCTGACAGGTAGAGTGTCTCCTTATTTCCCATTTATATTCTCACACTGCTGGTTAACCTGGCACATCTAGAGCCTGTTAATCAGCCAGATAAAATGATCTTGACACTTAACAGTCTGAGCATCCTTTGGATGGCTCTGAATTATCCCTGAGAACATTGTGCATGAACCAGACTCAGGTGTATGATCCCAAGATACATTTCCAATCTGACATATAATACAAATGTTTAGATGGCTGTTATGACAAAAGATTTCATTATTTTCTTGGCCTTATTCAGTTTTTTTTTTCCTTCAGTGTAACCCCTAATCTCATAAAATAAATATCTGCGATTGAATTTCTTGTCTTTGCCATTTAACTACATGGAAAGTTTTTGCCAATGTGTGCAAATTTCCCACAGTCAAAGTATTTTGTAGAAAAGAAAATCTCTGATTTACTCTCTTGTATTTTTAAAGAAGAAAGTCAGATCTGTCATGTTTAACCGAAGAAGTAATTATAGTAAGTAGTTTTAAACACCTGTAGTGTTTGAACCTTGAAGGGACTGGTAATTTCTGAGCCCAAAATCATAAGGTGATATATATGGTTAAAGGAATATATACTGTGAGGGGAATGTATCGTTTAGGCAGAGATGTTTTAGAATCACAATGCACTCTGAGATTGCTGATACTTCTCTTTTTGAATAGCAGCTAGCTCAGAGCATGAAAGGACCTCAGTGATAACCGGATCTCTCGGGTATGGGTAGAAGAGGTACAGAATCACAAAATCTGGCGAATTCGCCGGGAGCTCTAATAATATCGAAACATTGTCCCTTCTCACACAATCTGGAGTGCTTTAACTTCACGTCTTGGGTCTTTCCATGTCGCCACAGACCACCAGGAAGGCCAGTAACCCAGCATCCGTGGCCAATTGCTTTGTTTAGAGCCCCATCTGGTTATAAAACCTTGCTTGTTCTTTGGATATAGACCAGAACCATGGGTCCAATTGACATGGGTGAGGTGGCAAAAGTGCCTCTTCAGTAGCGTGGTCTCCACAACCTGCAACTGATTAATTTTGTGGTTTATTTGCTTTGCAGCGACCTTGTAACAGCAGCACGTGCCCTCATGACCACATGGTCTGATTGCCATCACGGCCTCCCAACAGGACGCCCAGCAGGGCTTCTGCATTGCTTGCAGCTCGTGTGGAATGCAGTAGCACACCCTCTCGGTGGTGTGAGGCACCAAGATCGGATTTCGTGTCTCTCCTCCCCAGTTTGGTTTGGGCTGCCTGGGTGGTGGGTTGACTCTCAGTTGGTTTTGCAGATTTTTAATGAGGAGCAAACACTGTCTTGGAGTGGCACAGCTGAGAAGCAGGGGACTGATGGAAATTGTTGTTTTTGGCAGAAATGGTGGCAGGATCAGGCATAACAGCTGGTAAGGGTGCACTTAATGTGGGAGGAAAAAAAAAAAGTATCTCCTCACTGCAAAACTCATCATTGCGTTTGTGAACCTTCAGTCAACAGCTCTGATTTCAAAGTCATATGTCTTGCAAATTACTGAATTTGGAATTATTGCTGCTAAGGATCTAAAAGATTCCTGTTACAGTAAACTATATTAGTAGCTCCTCAGCATCTCTCCTGGATTTTTGTTTTGTGTCATGTTATCATTAAGGTAAACCACTTAGGCATCTATCTCTCTGTTCTTCCATCAGTAATGGGTATTTGTTATAGACTTATCATTTGCCCTTCAGATGATAGAAAATTTAATTAAACACAGCCCCTATCCTTCAACACTTATAATCTTGCAAGTGAGGAAAAACATCTGTAAATAACTATGCAAAAATGAGATGGCATATAAAGGATTATGGAAGTTAAGATGAACAAAGGGATTTTTTCTATCTAGAAGGATTGGGAAAAGCTTTAAGACTGAGATAGTATCTGAGTTTAGCCTTGAACAATGAGTAGAAGTTAGAAACACAGACACAGGGAAGAGACATCTCAACCGGGGGAAATGGCTGAGCAAAGACAAGGGGACTATACAAGAAGTACATAGCACTTTGCTTTTGCTAGAATGTCTAAAGTGAGCATTGAGAGATAACATTGAGAAGGTAGATTGCAGTTATATATTGGTGGGCCTTAAAAGCTAGTTGGAAAAAAAAAAAAGCGACAACGTATGTGTGAGAAGTTGTCAAAATTTTTTAAACAGATTTAGGTAGCTCAATCTTTTAGAAAACTGTGGACTATTCATTAATTGCTTATTAATCTTAGAAAGCATGTGCTTATACTGAATATATTTTTTGTTTGCCTTTACAAATCTGGGCATATAATAAAACTGTATTTTAGTTTCAGTAACTACTAAAAAGGAATTTAAGATAACGTGGAGAGAAATGGCAGTGAAATTTATACTTTTCCTCTATTTAAACAAAACTTTTGCCAAGCACACGAATACTACAAAGGAGGACCTGGTGAGGCAGACAACTCATGAGGAAATAAGAACATATGTTATAATAGAATTTCTGCTGCTCAATAAGGGACGGCAGTTCCTTTGTTTGTAAGACGATGTCTTGCGTGTGTGTTTGCGTACATAAATCCTTCCAAATTTGTTTGTGTCTAAGATTTTATTTTATTTTATTTTTTTAAAGATTTATTTATTTATTTGACAGAGAGAGGGAACACAAGAGGGAGTGGGAGAGGGAGAAGCAGGCTTCCTGAGGAGCAGGGAGCCCAATGCGGGGCTCCATGCGGGGCTCCATGCGGGGCTTGATCCCAGGAGCCTGGGATCATGACCTGAGCTGAAGGCAGACACTTAATGACTGAGCCACCCACGTGCCCCATTTTTGCGTCTAAGATTTTAGAAAAATGCTTAAGCTTTGTAAAAGAAGATATTATCTTTAAGCATTTTAAGGATTTCAGAAATACCAGTCATTCATATATTCAGAATCTGTCATTTAGAAACGATTTTTATACTTTCATCTATCAAAGCTGATGGGCATCAGCTAGGTAGTACTTTATTAGTCCCCATCCAGTTAACAGTTTTTCGGAGTAAATCACTGAGTTTGCATGAGGAATTCACTGCAATGCACAACCGCCGTTATTCATACTGAAACGCTCCTCACTAGTCCCTCTCAGTGCCATTTTGTGGGTTTCTCTTCAAGTGAGGGTAACTTTTACTAACGTATAAAATACTCAAAGAGTTAAGAAAATGTCGTAAAATCACCCAGTAGTTTTTAGGGAGGCAGGACTTCAGTTTTATATTTATTAGAAAAAAGAATGGGTCGTGAAACATCACAGTATGTGTCCTCGCATTCTCCATGGGAACTTACTTGTTTAACTGTGATTCAGAGGGGGAGAATACAATCTGGTAAAAACTATATTTTCTTTAGCAGCTCCCTTTGTGGGAGTACACTAATTTCCTTCCACCCAACTTGTAAAATTAATGAAATGCCTTTCAGAACCGGGTTGCCAAATATCTTTTTCTCTTGAGGTTTCTACTTGGTTGATAAATGCATGATGCACATTCTTAAAAATACCTTTTTGTGCCAATTTTAGAGTACTATAAAATGGAAAGAATATTTAACTATTTATGTGCAAAGAACCTATGAACTACTCTGATTTTTATAGTGATTGAGGTATACAAGGAAAAATACATAAGGTATAAATCTTTCTTGCTATATCTTATTTTCTGTTTTCTAGATGAGCCTTAAAACATTTCTATTGGCAGATACAAAATTCAATGGCAACATCATTAACTTTTTTAATTTAAAAAGCATTTAAAATATCTTGGTATTTTTTATTTAAAAATAAAACTCACTATTTATTTGATATAACCATTCCTTATTTTTTTCTAAAATGCCCAATTAAGAATTACTGCTCTAATCCAAAAGACCTTATGTTTAGGGATGATTCCACATGTTCACATTAAGTTGATTTTCCATTTTAATTTACAAAATTGGGAATTTTCGTATTTTTTTCTGTGCAGCAGTTCTCAACTAGGGGAAATTTTGCTGCCCTCCTCCACCTTCGCATTTGACAATGTTTGGAGACATTGCTTGTCACAGGTTGGGGAGTCACATCTAGTGAGCAGAGACTAGAGATGATGCTAAACATCCTGTAATGCATGAAAATTCTTCAACAATTATCTGATGCAAAATGTCAATAGTGCCAGGATTGAGAAACCTTGGAATAGAGCAGAAATAACTGGATTATCCATACCTATCATGAGCTTGTATTCCTGAAATTAGATAGAAAAACTATTGGTCCCCCCTCCACTGTTGAACTCTGAATCAGGAATATAAAATCTATATCAACTAGGAGAGGAGGAAAGAAATTAAAAAGATAAAACAAGTTAGTTAAATTAATTAAAGCTAATGTACAATGAAAAGGATGCTAAAAAGCAAATGTAGATGCTAAAAAAATCTAATAATATAGACAAACCTCTGGTAAGAGTGATCAAGACATAAAGGATAAATGTGTAAATAAATGATTTTAGGAAAGGAAAAGAGGACATGACCACAGCTGTGGATGTAGAGAGTAAAAGCCAATGTAGTTTATACACTTACAAATCCAAATTTCATAGCCAGATTGGGTATGTTTATCTTTTTTATTTTAAAAGATTTTATTTATTTATTTCAGAGAGAGAGAGAGAGAACACAAGCCAGAGGATACGGGGGACAGGCAGAGTGAGAAGGAGAAGCAGGCTTCCTGCCGAGCAGGGAGCCCGATGTGGGACTCGATCCCAGGATCCCGGGATCAGGACCTGAGCTGAAGGCAGATGCTTAACTGACTGAGCCACCCAGGTGCCACAGGTTTGGGTGTGTTTATATCCAAGCTCCACAACTTATTCATGTATGATCCCAGTCAAGTTAATTAATTGTCTTTGCTTCAATTTCACCATCAGTAAAAAAGGGGAAAATAATAGAATCTATCTCAATGAATGACATCTGGATTAAATACAAAATATATGTTAAGAAGAACAACACAGCATATAGTAAATGCTGTATAGGCATTTTGTAATTTTATTACATATAATCTGAGATGATGATGATTAGAATAGGGTTGTGCAAATAAAATGTAAAACAAAATCATTAAACTCTTAGAAAAAATACATTTTATCAAAACTCACTTAAGAAGAAATAGAAATAGGGCGCCTGGGTGGCTTAGTCATTAAGCGTCTGCCTTCGGCTCAGGTCATGATCCAGGGGTCCTGGGATCGAGTCCCACATCAGGCTCCCTGCTCGGCAGGAAGCCTGCCTCTGCCTCTCCCACTCCCCCTGCTTGTGTTCCTGCTCTAGCTATCTCTCTCTCTGTCAAATAAATAAATAAAATCCTAAAAAAAAAAGAAGAAGAAATAGAAATAGAAAACCTGCATAATCCAACAACCATTAAAGAAAATCAATAGTAAAACTTTCCCATAAAAAACACACATTCAGATGATTTTGCTAATAAAATCTACTTATAATCAATAATCAGTCTGTTCTCACACAAAATATTCCAGATTACAGAGATCATGGAAACACCCCTTAATCCCAAATAAAAAATCCCAAATAAAAATTCAGAGTCAAGCATTATATAAGAATCATAATATTTTATGACCAAGGTGGAATTACTCCAGGGACAAGTGTGGTTTAAAGATAGAAACATTTCCTAACACAATGCTCCATAACAACAGTTTAAAATGGGAAAAATCACATTTTCTCAATGAAGATCAGTTGTTTGATAAAATTGAACATCTATGATTAAAAACAGAAACTTAGCAAACAAGCAACACAAGGAAATGTCTTTATCCTCATAGATAGGATCTGCAAAAGAAAATCTGTAACAAGCAAAAAGATGAATTAGAGGGGCAAAAAGACAAGAATGACAGCTATTGGCCCTTTGATTTAGCATTTTAATAAAAGTCTAAGTTTAGGAAAACATGAGAAAAATTAAAGGTTTAAAAATTGTATAGGTAAAAATAAAACTGTCTATATTAAAAACTCAAAGAATATCAATTAAAAAGCTATATACAAAGCAATAAACAGAAAGTTATTTTAATGCATAAACCACAAAGGGTAATAAAATATTAAAATGCTTGATAATAGCAACAAAAATAATAGAAAACTTAGGAAAAAATCTAATAAAAATATGGAAATCTGGGTGACTCAGTTGGTTAAGTGTCTGCCTTTGGCTCGGATCATGATCCCAGGGTTCTGGGATTGAGCCTCACAGCACATTCCTTGCTCAGAGGGGAGTCTGCTTCTCCCTCTCCCTCTACTGCAACACCTGCTTGTGCTCTCTTGCTTTCTCTCTGTCAAATAAATAAATAAAATCTTTAAAAATATATGGAAGCCTTTTGGAAAGAGTCATAATAACTTATTGAAAGTTATGTTATTTAGAGGTGCCTGGGTGGCTCAGTCATTAAGCGTCTGCCTTCAGCTCAGGTCATGATCCCAGGGTCCTGGGATAGGGCCTTGCTTCGGGCTCCCTGCTCTGCGGGAAGCCTGCTTCTCCCTCCCCCATCCCCCTGCTTGTGTTCCCTCTCTCGCTGTGTCTCTCTCTGTCAAATAAATAAATAAATAATCTTAAAAAAAAAAATCTTGGGCGCCTGGGTGGCTCAGTTGGTTAAGCGACTGCCTTCAGCTCAGGTCATGATCCTGGAATCCCTGGATCGAGTCCCGCATCGGGCTCCCTGCTCGGCAGGGAGTCTGCTTCTCCCTCTGACCCTCCCCCTCTCATGTGCTCTCTTTCATTCTCTCTCTCTCTCAAATAAATAAATAAAATCTTTAAAAAAAATCTTAAAAAAAAAGAAAGTTATGATATTTGGAGGGAGGAGCAAGATGGTGGAGGAGTAGGAGACCTGGATTTCGTCTCCTCTCAGGAATTCAGCTAGATAGGGATCAAACCATTCTGAACACCTACGAACTCAACAGGAGATCGAAGAAAAGAATAGCAACAACTATCTGAACAGAAAAGCAACCACTTTCTGGAAGGTGCGTTGTGCGGAGAAGTGAATCCGAGGCGATATTCGGAAGATAGGCGGTGGGGGAGGGGGCCTCTGTCGGCCTCTTCTGGCAAGTAATAGAGCAGTGGAGCACAAAATCGCAAGTTTTAGAAGTTGGCTCCGCTGAGGGACGTCACTCCAGTGGCTAAGAGGGGGGTGGAACCCTCGCTGGGACAGTGTGGTCTCAGGAGCTCGGGGTCACAGGAAACCTGTGGGTGCCTGAGTGCAGCAGAGCTCTCAGGTATCAGAGCGGGGAAGCCGGCTGCAGAGACGGAGCCGAGGAGTGGGCTCTCAGCTCGGGGTTGCCATAAACTGTGATCTGCGGCACAGTCGGGCCACTGCTCCTCCAGCAGGGACCCAACAAGCGGCAGACCTGGGGAGACTCCCCTTCCTCCCACGGGAGGAGCCGCGCGGGAGTGCACCGCAGGGATCTGCTGGGTTTGGAGACTCCACACAGGGTCGGGTGCCAGAGATAGAGATGCTCGGTCACAGGCTGGGTGAACGTGGAGTGTGGCCAGAGACCGGGGAGATGGGAATGACTGACTGCTTTTCTCTGGGGGCTCACTGAGGAGCAGGGCCCTGAGTTCTCGGCTCCTCTGGGGCGGAGATTGGGAGGCCGCCATTTCACTCTTGGCCTCCAAATCTGTACGGAAAGCTTGCAGGGAACAAAAGCTCCCGAGAGCAAACCTGAGCAGATTACTTAGCCCGACCCCCGGCAAGGGCAGGGCAATTCTGCCTCCAGCAAAGACATTTGGGAACCATGGCAACAGGTGCCTCCCCAAAAGATCAGCAAGAACAGCCTGCCAAGACCAAGTTTACTGATCAATGAAAACGGCAGAACTCCAGCACTAGGGGAAGACTGCACATAGAATTCATGGCCTTTTTCCCCCTGATTCTTTAGTCTTTCAAAGTTAACTTTTTTTTTTTTAATTTTTCTTTTTCCCTTTTTCAACCAACACCTTATCAATCCCTTTTTAAAAATCTTTTTTATTTGGGGCGCCTGGGTGGCTCAGTTGGTTAAGCGACTGCCTTCCGCTCAGGTCATGATCCTGGAGTCCCAGGATCGAGTCCCGCATCAGGCTCCCTGCTCGGCAGGGGGTCTGCTTCTCCCTTTGACCCTCCTCCCTCTCATGCTCCCATTTTCTCTCTCTCAAATAAATAAATAAAATCTTCTAAAAAAAATCTTTTTTATTTTTCATTTGTAAAGTCATATTCTATCCCTTCATAGTAGTTAACCTTATTTTTGGTATATATATACATATATATATATATATGTTTTTCTCTCTTTAAAACTTTGGGATAGTTTCTTCTAACAGACCAAAATTTACCCTAAATCTCTAGTGTATGGTTTTGTTCTAGTCTACAGCATGATCACATTCTCTCCCTTTTTTTTTTAAATCCTCTTCTTTCTTTTTTCAACCAACTTCTTATCAATTCCTTTTATAAAATCTTTTATAATTTTCATCTTTACAGTCATATTCCATCCCTTCATCGTATATACCCTTATTTTTGTACATACATAAGTTTTTCTTTCTTTAAAATTTTTGGGGGCACTTTCTTCTAACAGACCAAAATACACTCAAAATCTAGTGTGTGGCACTGATCTATGCACCAGCCTGATCATATTTGATCATATTCTGTTTTTTTGTTTGTTTGTTTTTTACCTTTTCCTTTTCCTTTTTTTTTCTCTTTTTTCTTTCTTTCCCTTTCTTTCCCCTGGTTTCAGGTCTCTTCTGATTTGTTTAGTGTATATTTTTCTGGGGTCATTGTTAACCCTGTTAGCATTTTGTTCTCTCATTCATCTATTCTCCTCTGGACAAAATGACAAGATGGAAAAACTCACCTCAAAAAAAAGAACAAGAAGCAGTACTGACTGCCAGGGACCTAATCAATATAGACATTAGTAAGATGTCAGAACTAGAGTTCAGAATGATGATTTTAAAGGTACTAGCCGGGCTTGGAAAAAGTATGGAAGATATTAGAGAAACCCTTTCTGGAGAAATAAAAGAACTAAAATCTAATCAAGTCCAAATCAAAAAAGCTATTAATGAGGTCAATCAAAAATGGAGGTTCTACCTGCTAGGATAAATGAGTCAGAAGAGAGAATCAGTGATATAGAAGACCAAATGATGGAAAATAAAGAAGCTGAGAAAAAGAGAGATAAACAGCTACTGGATTATGAGGGCAGAATTTGAGAGATAAGTGATACCATAAGATGAAACAATATTAGAATAATTGGGATCCCAGAAGAAGAAGAAAGAGAGAGAGGGGCAGAAAATATATTGGAGCAAATTATAGCAGAGAACTTCCCTAATTTGGGGAAGGAAACAGGCATCAAAATCCAGAGAACCCTCCCTCAAAATCGATATAAATAGGTCAACACCCTGACATCTAATAGTAAAA